ACTTCCGGAATTGACTCGGGATTATCCCTTGTCGATGCCCTTTTGCTGGTCATATTGGTAGTGACCCTCGGAAATTCTCCATCTTCAACCACCGTTTTTCTTTGCCGGAAACGCCTATGCCTTGGTTTTGGCGTTTCGGTACTAAGCCTTTCGAACACCGAAACTCTCTCGGTGACTGCCTTGATGCAGTTGCATTCAGACAGTACCGCCCGAATGAGCTTTGAACAAGGGCACTGAATTTCTAGCATTCGAGGACTTCTCTTTCTGGTTTTGCTCGTACCCCCAGCACGATAGTACAGCTCGTCCGTTTGAAAGTCGGAGCAACCTATCGTGTGTTGGCACGATTTCTCAGGTATAACGTAATCATCATCAGACGATAACGTTTCCTTCTGAGAGCGAACTACCTTCTTCGGACTTTCAAAAGTCACGCGCCTCGAAACGCGCATTTGTGGGCGTGAGTTCTCGGCGGGCTCCTGGACTTCAATGCGCAAGTTGGTGCGCATAGCTGCCCTGATTTCTTTATCACGTTGGAGGTGACGGCGACCCCCAGCGTGTTGAGTCATTCCGGGCTTCTTCGTTGGGCCCAAACTCTCTTGAACTGGAGCTTTGCCTCTTTCGTCGGGAATTGGTCCGAGGCGCTCCAAAACCGATTTCTTCCTTTTGGGACGATTCTGCACGATCTCCCGAAAAAGCTATTGGAATTATCGACGACTTGGGTTGATTCGCCGGTGGTTGAACTTTTGTTGGAGGCTGCTTCGGCCTCCATACTTGGCGGGTTAGTGGCGCACGAGGATTCTTGCTTGTGCAAGCAATGCGCGGCGTTTGTGAATCCGCTCTTCGAGTGTCGAACGGTTCCGTTTGACCCGGATCCATTCGTTCGTCGGCGGCTTGGAGGAACCGCCATTCTTCAGTTGTTGAGGCTGTTTGCCTCTCCTATTCTTCAGATCCACGTTGTAGCGGATCCCGTCAACTGACTCCATGGCTTTTGCGAATTGTTTCGCGAGGCGTTGCCTTTGGCGGGCTCTCTTCGAGAGAGTCACCACGCCTTCCGCGGCAGAAAGGTTGGCCAGAGTAGATCCGCCTTGGTTGGAAATTGGAGGAACCTCACCCGATGCGACTTTGGCATCAAACGGGGCAAGATCTTCGTTGGTGTTTTCTACATCTTCACACCAACGAGCTTTTCTCCTGGAGGAGAACTTCTTGGACTTACGAGGGGAGGTAGATCCGGACGAGGATGACAGATGCTCCTCGAACTTTTGTTGGTCGAATTCGTACTCGACCTCCTCCTCGACCGGGATCGGAATCCGCGGCTGCGACGTGACGATCTCGGCAGCGAGATCGGTGGCTCCCACTGTAGTCGCCAGATTGTTCGCGGTGAAAATCGTCTTCATTGAATTCATTGTCATCTTGAATAACTATATTTTTTTTGTTACAAAAGATCCGGTTTTTTTAGATCCGGTTACAACGAAATCAAAGAAAAAAAGAAAAAATTACAACTTTCCTTTTACAACTTTCCCTTTGAACAAATCGCAAGATCCTGTTTTGCCGGTCGGATCTACACGATTCGACGGGTATTATTTCACAAAGGAAATAATAGCCGTAGGGTACTAATTCACCAAGGAAATAGTAGCCTTTAGTTCTCGGGATCAAAGGCCAAGCTTTGATCCGGAGTGTTGCCTCGTGTAGATCTCAGATCCGATTTTTACCTCTCTCGAATCCCTGCCTTTTTTGACGCGGACGTTCGCCGAGAATCAGATCTGAATCTTCAAGTCCTCAAGTCTTCGAAACTCTACGCTCAGTCTCCAATCCGGCAGAGTAACGGCTCTCAAAGTTCCAACCTCTTCAAATGAACATCCCATGGCCTATTTATAGGCACCCAGATCTGTGCCCAGGCACAGATCTGGGCTGAGGTGGCTCGGCCACAAGTGGCCGGCCACCCCTGGGTGGCTCGGCTCATGCCGAGCCACCCTGAAGTGGCTCGGTTTCGGCCGAGCCCCTCAGGGTGTTTGGGTTCCGTCGTTTTGTCCGTTGTATCCGTTTTTTCGGTTGACTTATCTGGACTCGATTTGTTGACCTGATTTGGCAGTCGATCCGAATCCTGATTTGGCAGTAAATCCACTTCTGAGTTCGAGTCCGAAACCGATCTTGATTCGATCGTGATTCGTCCGAGTCCGCTCTTGTTTGAATGACTCGTTGACTCCCCGAACCGTTGGCTTGATTCCGCACGCGAATGGATGCATTCCGTTGCTCGCGTGCGATTCGTTGACCTCGTCGCCTCGTCACTCGATGGTTTGTCGAATCATCGCGGCGAGCTATGCCAAGGGACTTATAAGCAATTTTACATGTCTACAGTATGGTTGTTCCCTATCAATACGGTTTCACCATCAATGTTTCTGTAGGTAGTAAATCACTTTCTATTTGGGCACATATGGTAAGAGCAACCTGAATCAAGAATCAACTTCCCGGAGATATCCTCGTTACCCGTGACGATATAGCATTCATTCTCGCTCCCTTCCTCTGAAACATAGCTCGCTTTTTCCTTGCATTCTTTCCTCTCAGTCTTATTGTTGTTTTTTTCCCACCTACTCTCTTATTTGGACAGTCAACCTTGAAATGCCCAACTTCACCACATTTGAAACACGCTTGATTTAGATCTAGACTTTCCTCCATTGTCTTTTCCTCGCTCATTGCTCCTTCCTCTAGCAAACAATCCCTGTGCTTGTTCTTTGCTATCACCAATAGTCATGTCACTGGTTTTAATCTTTCGAAGGTCATCCGTTAGAAGCGCCGATCTAGTCTCATTCATCGTTAAATTGTCTCCCACAAGTATCAATGTTTGCACCAGGTTCTCATAAGACTTCGGCAGAAATAGAAATAGTAGAAGCGCCTGATCCTCGTATTCAACTGTCACGTCTATGTACTTTAAGTTTGATATGATCCTATCAAACTTGTTGATGTATTTCCGAATTGATGAGCTCTCATCCATCTTACAAGTATACAATTTTAATAAATAGATCCGGTTCGTTAGACTCTTCGTCATGAAGGTGCTTTCTAACTTCGACCACACGCCCGCAGTCGTTTCCTCTTCATCTACTAAGAAACCTACATCTCTTTCAAGGTAAAGGATAATCGACGTCCGTGCTTTCAGATCCAGCTCCTCCAATCCTCATTAGACATTTCCTTATGCTTCTTCTCTTTTCCAGCCAAAGCCTTGTGTAATTTTGCAAAATCAACGAGTTTTTCATCTACACCATCCAATAGAAAAAATCATTCTTCCCATTGAATTTTTCGATCTTGTACTTTCTAACTTTAACTGTTTTGTTAGTTGGTGTCACATTTGTTTGTATTAATAAATCCGTTTCTCTTAGGAAATTGCCGAGCACCACCTCAAATCAGAAGCTACATCACTCCTAATCTAAATAACAGTTCTGATACTAATTGTTGGGCGCAGAATCATACCCTCACGCCGCGGAAGCGATATAGCCTGAGAGAAAGCCCTGACTTTTGTTTTCACAAAAGCTCAAGTCAACATCTATATTCCCGTTTCACAAAGAAAACAAGAATAGAAAGTAAAATATCTCGACAAAGTGAAATATACACTATTTCTCTCATCAGTTTTAGGACTGACTTGTCGAGGAAATCTACAAGCAATAGACAAACATAAAAAAATAGTAAACATACGAGATTTACGTGGTTCGGCAAACTTGCCTACGTTCACGGGAGCGGGGAGGGGAGATTCCACTATGAGAAGAACACTGATGACTTGTACAACCTACAAGCTCATCACAAAGAAAGAAACTTTGATTTTTATCCAAAAAAAATTGACCTCTCTTGTAAAATCTTTCTAAAGCTCCCACCTTTCTCCTCAAGATCTCAAATCTGAAAACTCTTTAGCCGTCGCCAAAACCCTCTATTTTTACTTTGCATTTTTTCCCCTCAGAAAACCCTAGAAGCTATTCGGGTATTTATAACAGATCACGTGGATTTCTTGGGTGGGCCACACTGGGCTTGCCACTTCCGCGCTTGTGGGTGCGTTTGTGGGTGTGGCCCCCACGCGCTTTGCCTCCCGCTCGCGCTTTGCCTCCCGCTCGTGGCCCCCACGTTCACAAAAAGCTCCGCGACGTCAGTATTTTCATAAAACCTTTCTGCTCCAAACCTCTCCGATGAATTCAAGTCATAAAAGAGATTAAAAAAACCAAACAACCTGAAATGAATCCAATTCTTCTCCATATCTTTTATGAACAACTTTTGTTTGTTCTATTTTGACTTGCTATAACTAAATTGTTGATTACAATTTATAATAGATAATTGGCTAAATTTCAGAAAGCAACCCCCCCCCCCAACTTTCGAAAATATCAGAATACAAGTTTAATACTTTTTTTCATAAAAATGCGGTGGATGGATAATTGTGCCAGTGAAAATAGTTTTTTCTTTTTTGATTTTTGGGGGAACATTGAAATTTGAAGAAGGTTTTCTTCAAATCTGTAAGCTTAAATTCAGGGGAGTTTCCCGATTTTTTTAAAGTTATAGGATTTATTTGATAATCATGCAAAGTTTTTTTTCATTTCCTTTCCTTCTCTCATTTCTTTATTTTTGCACCCCCCCCCCCAACCCCCAAAAAAAAAAAAAAAAAAATCTTGATTTCTGGTGTATATGCCTGTTCTTTGAAAATAAGGCGTTACCCATTGCGGGCATTTAACTAGACATAATTTTTTCTTGCATTGAGTGCAAAATCAAATGAATCTGGTACGTCCCCATATCTTTTCTCTTTTATTATAAATTTCAATTCATTAGTATCAAAGTATTTATAAATTTGTTCAAGGACACGAAAACGTATCTGTTCAAACAAATAGACGATTCTTCAAGGACACGAAAACGTATCTGTTCAAACAAATGTTGCTCAAAATCACACAAATTTAAGGATCTTAATATTGATCACCTTATTCATAAATTTGTTCATCATATTTTAATTTTCCATAGTCATGACTTCCCCTCTGCAGGATTTCACCAATGCCGCTGGGGGTACAAGAATGTCTCAGTCGTCGAAGCCGTCGTGGAAGGGTACGCTGCTGCCCAAATCCCCCTCGATGTCATCTGGAACGATGACGATCACATGGACGCCGCCAAAGATTTCACCCTCGACCCTGTCAACTACCCTCGCCCAAAACTCCTCTCGTTTATCGACAAGGTCCACGCCCGTGGCATGAAATACATTGTCCTCATTGACCCTGGCATCGCCGTAAATTCCACCTATGGCGTCTTCAACCGAGGAATGGCCAACGATGTCTTCATTAAGTATGAAGGAGAACCCTACCTCGCCCAGGTCTGGCCTGGTCCCGTCTACTTCCCCGACTACCTAAACCCTAACGGAGTTTCATGGTGGATCGACGAGATTACCCGTTTTCATAAGCTTGTCCCTGTTGATGGGCTGTGGATTGACATGAACGAGGCCTCAAACTTTTGTACGGGCAAGTGTGCAATACCGACTACGCATTTGTGCCCTGACCCGAACTCAACGGAACCATGGCTGTGCTGCCTTGATTGCACCAACATAACAAACACGCGATGGGACGAGCCTCCGTACAAGATCAATGCATCGGGGATGTCTGCTCCATTAGGGTTCAAGACTATAGCGGCGAGCGCGACGCACTATAATGGCGTGATGGAGTACAACGCACATAGCTTGTATGGGTTATCGCAAGCCGTAGCCACACGCAAGGCCCTTCTAGGGCTCGAAGGGAAAAGGCCGTTCATCTTGACTCGATCCACGTTCGTGGGATCCGGTGCCTATGCTGCACATTGGACAGGCGATAACAAGGGTACGTGGGAAGATCTTCGGTATTCAATATCGACGGTCCTCAATTTTGGTATTTTCGGTATGCCAATGGTCGGCGCAGACATATGTGGATTCTACCCAGCGCCTACTGAAGAGCTATGCAATCGTTGGATCGAGCTAGGCGCGTTCTATCCATTTTCGAGGGATCATGCCAATTTCGCATCGCCGAGGCAAGAGCTCTATCAGTGGGAGTCTGTTGCGAAGTCTGCTCGTAACGCACTAGGTCTTCGATACAAATTGCTACCATATCTCTACACGTTGAACTATGAGGCACATCTCACAGGCGCACCAATGGCTCGTCCGGTGTTCTTCTCGTTCCCGACCTTCACCGAGAGCTACGGGTTGAGCACGCAGTTCTTGCTCGGTAGGAGCGTAATGGTGTCGCCCGTGCTCAAGCAAGGGGCGACAGAGGTGGACGCGATGTTCCCTCCGGGTACATGGTACAATCTCTTCGACGTGACAAAGGCAGTGATATCGAAAGATGCACGACTCGTTTCGCTTGACGCGCCGCTCAACGAGGTGAACGTGCACGTGTACCAGAACACGATACTCCCGATGCAACAGGGAGGGATGATATCAAAGGAGGCGAGGACTACACCTTTCACGCTGGTGGTGGCGTTCCCAATGGAGGCGATGGAGGCGGAGGCGAGGGGGGAGTTGTATGTCGACGATGATGAGAGGCCGGAGATGAAGCTAGTCGAAGGGGAGGCGACTTACGTCGAGTTCCGGGCAAGGGTGAAGGGGGGGAAGAGTGTGGAAGTGTGGTCGGAAGTGGAGATGGGGAAGTTCAGTATGGAGAAGGGTTTGGTGATCGAGAAGGTGAGGGTTTTGGGGTTGGGGGGAGTGGGAAGTGGACTGACAATGGAAGTGGATGGGGAGGTGATGAAGGAGATGAGTAGGGTTTATGTTGGTGAGGGGGAGAGCGTGAAGGATGAGGAGAAGTTGGAGGGAGGGAATAAGAGGAAGGGGATGGTGGTGGAGGTTGGAGGGCTTGAGTTGCCACTGGGGAAGAAATTCCACATGTCTTGGCAAATGGGGATCAAGCCATGAAGGGTTTTTGGCTATGTTGGTGTCTGTCGTCGTTGTGGTCTCTTTTGACGTAGCTCTATGCATCTTTTCGTGTGGTTTGTTTGTGTTTGTTCTTTTCCCTCTTTTAACTTTTTCATTTTCGAAGAGGCATGATAACATGCAAGTGCCGTGTGGAGAATGGGAGGTGAAATTGTGGAAGCTAATTTAGACCATTGAAGTTCTCAAATCTATTTCTGCTTTGTTCTTATCATTCTTGTATCTTAAAGTACGCTCCTTGCACTGTACCAAAACTGTGGACAGAAGGATCAAGGGTCACGGAGAAAGGTGGGCTCAGTTGACCGTGTGGGCGGCGTTAAATAATAATTTTTTCAGTTTGACTTTGATAGTCAAAATGACGGGCTCATTTTTTTGTGTTTGCAAATAAAAAGGGTTCAACAAGGTTGTCATAAATATCCTAAATTAGTTTACCCTATTTTTTTTTCCTTTCTAAAAGTTCCATTCCTCACCCCTAGGGAAATAAATATTAACCTGCCTCAATAAGATTTCTTTTAGCCTTCTGAATGAGGGTTTAACTTGTATTCATTGTAAAAGCGTTTGTTCCATTTGATCAAATTAATTCTTTTGAAGTGTTTTGTTACATCATTAACTAATGAACCGGAATCACTAAATGGTCTTTGTGTAAAATAACTAAAATTTAGAAACTCAATGTAAGATATTACTGAAGAAACAATGTTTGATTTTGACCAGTTGCCAAACAAGCTCTCAGCCCAAAGTCTAATTTTTGGCCATCATTACTGATAAGCAGTCCACAACACAACCCTAATTACTTTTTATAAACTTTGTTCAGTGGAAAGTGTTGGGCTTTATGTAAAAAGAACGGGGCCTAGCCGCCTAGGATTGAAGCTTGACACCAAGATAAGTGTTGGGCATTTCATCCAAAGACTTGGGTTAAGGTTAAAAGCCTGACAAAATCATCATAATCTTCGATTACGTAAAATGCTCTGTATTAAAACATAGTGTTTTGTTGAACTAAAACGAAAACAAATGAAAGTCTTTAAGCCGTCTGCTACCCTCCGCGCGAATGGTAGACTCTTTTTGCACGCAAGTGTTGATAAAATTTGAAATTTTCAGAGGCTTTCGCTTGTTTGTGAAAATCCTAGTTTCAAAAATTTTGAGTACATGTATTTGAAAATTATAAGCGACAAGTTGAAGTTAGAGAGAACAATAGTATTTGTGGAGATTCATAGTCCAAATCATCATAATCCTCGAATACAAATATCACTTGAATACTATATATGCGTGGTTGAACCATAAAAAAGACGGTTGAAATCTTTGAGATGTTTGGTATCCTTTTTGTGAATAGTTCAGAACATCATATTATCATTTTCATATGCAGGCGTTTTGATAAAATTTATATTTTTCAGGGAGTTTTTGTGTGTTCGTGAAAATCCTGTTGGAGTTGTAACTTAAAACTTGGGTTTGTAGAGGAAAAGAGGAAAAGTTTAGTCCCATATAGGAAATGAAATAGGAAGGAAGGGTCTTTATAAACCTTCCATTTCTCTCCTATGCCTAGAAGAAAATAAAAGGTTATGCTCTACACCACACACGCGCGCGCCGGCCGGGCCGGGCTCGGGCTCGGGGTCGGGTCGGGTGGCTTGCGGACACGAATGCAGCTCCGGACTGAGGGGCCATTAATCTGCTACATTTTTATTTTTGAACAATTAACATGTGATAAACATTTTGTAACGGTTATGATTAAATATTTTGTAACTGTTATAATTAAAATACCACGGATTTATGGATTTAAATGACAGAAAACGGCTAACATTAATACATTAATGGGTGAGTAATTAAAACGTGTTAATTACGGTATTTATGAGTAACAGCTGTTTTTCCCTATAAAAGGATCTAAAATCCGAAGAGTTTAACACATCAAATTACAAATAAGCTCTTCTCCTTCTTCTCTGTTCTTCCTCTTACATTTGCTTACTGTTACGATTTGTTGGTTCCCTGAAAGTCGAGAAGTATTCGCAAAGCCTTCTTGAAGCTCGTGCCGACGAGAAGGAGGTCGCCTGACCGAGAGTCGTTGTATCTCCAGGAACTTTTACCGCGTAGCCCTGTACGAGAGGGGACAATTAGATTCTTAGGACAGTGCTTGCACGCCTCGACCATCAGGCCGTATTTCTAACTTTTAGTTATTTTCATTTGATTATATTTCTGAGATATAATAGTTATCTGTTTTTATCTAATTTCTATTAACTGTTTAAAACTTAATTCGTGTTAATTACTATCTAAACAGCTCATATTTCCTAACAATCCAAGAATCTAATTTTGCTGTTTAGAATAGTATCATGATTAGCATTATGCTTTTTATGTTAATGTTGTCTGCAATTCTTAAAAACGAAATGTTACACTGCATGATAATTCTGTTGAATGAATGTTTTATATATTTCTGTTGCATTATAATAACAAAACTATTCATTCATCATCAGATTATGGCTACAAGTGAAATTATGTCGGCTAAACCAGAGAAGTTTGATGGGAACAATTTCCGTCGTTGGCAAAATCAAATGAGATTTTGGTTAACAACTCTAAATCTAATAACTGCCATAGAACCAGAACACCCATTTTTATCTAGACCAGTTACCAGGCAATCTTCCTCATCTTCCTCTACGGATTCCATTCCTATCCCGAGAACACCTCAAGAAATAGAGTATCATTGTCTACACAGAATCTTAGGAGCTTTATCTGATAGGTTATATGATATATATTATACTATCACTAATGCTAAAGTTCTGTGGGAAACCCTAGAGAAAAAGTATGGTTTAGATGATATGGGAATTAAAAGATTTAAAGCTTCTGATTTTAACAAATTTAAAATGGTAGATTCTAAACCAATGAATGAGCAAATTCATGAATTCGAACATATAGTTCACCAATTAAAAGTGAATGGATCTATCCTAGATGAAACGTTTCAAATAGCCTGTCTTATAGACAAACTTCCCGAGTCATGGTCAGATTTTACCAAAAACCTTAACCATACTCAAGGAGATCTTACCCTATAACAAGTGTTGAATTCCATTAGAATTGAAGAGCAACATAGACTCAGGGAGAAAAATGTGACAAAATCCGAACCCAAAGAACCCAAAGTAAACAATGTTGAATCCAAACCCTTTCCCCAACACAAGAAACGTCCCTTCCACCAAAATCAAAATAAAACATTTAAGAAAAAATCCTTTCATCAAAATAAGAACCCTGTCCACTTTCAAAAGAAGGAAGGAGCTGAACGTCGAGCATGTTTCGTTTGTGGACTGCTAAGTACTGCTTTTACAAGAAGACAGAACCACCCAAGCCTAGGAAGGGAGGACCTCCACCTAATAAGTCACAAGTAAACATGGTGACTTCCAGTCCAGCTGAGACTGCTTTCAGGTCTGTTCTCTTCACTCCTGAAGTAAACATGACCTTTCAAGCAAATGATTGGTGGATTGACACTGGAGCTAATATTCACGTTTGCTCTAATCAATCTTTGTTTTCCACCTATCAGGTCTCAAGTAGAGGAACTGTGACAATGGGAAATAATAATGTGGCTCCGACTTCGGATAAGACTTTGATCCTGCAGGATGTCCATCATGTACCAGATATTAGGAGAAATTTAATTAGCGGATCTTTATTAGTGCAACAAGGCTACAAACTTGTTTTTGAATCAAATAAAGTTGTAATAACTAATGGTTTGAACTTCATTGGAAAAGGTTTCTTATGTGATGGTCTTTTTAAATTGAATGTTAAGAATTCTACTCTTGCATCTCCAATAGCTTTGAATATTGAACCTTCCATCACTTGGCATCAAAGATTAGGACATGTGAATTATAATTCAATTAAAAGATTGATGCATCTCAATACAATTCCAAAGCTTAATATAAAAGATGATAAAAAATGTAAAATATGTGTAGAAGCCAAACTTCCTAAGAAACCATTTAAAACTATTGATAGAGATTCTGAGATATTAGAACTCATCCATAGTGATGTTTGTGATTCAGGAAGAACAACTAGAGGGGGTAACAAATATTTTGTAACTTTTATAGACGATTGCTCTAAATATTGTTACCTCTACTTAATTAAGACTAAAGATGAAGTCATAAACAAATTTAAAATATATAAAGCAGAAGTTGAAAATCAGTTGGATAGGAAAATTAAAATACTAAGATCAGATAGAGGTGGTGAGTACACTTCTAATGAATTAAAACAATTCTGTGAAGATAATGGAATTATTCATGAAATAACTGCTCCATATACACCTCAATCTAATGGAGTAGCTGAGAGAAAGAATAGAACACTAATGGACATGGTAAACTCAATGTTAATTAATTCTGGTGTGCCAGAAAATTTATGGGGAGAAGCTCTCATGACTGCATGTCATATACTAAATAGAATTCCATTCAAGAAATCTGATAAAACCCCTTACACAATTTGGAAGAATAGAAACCCTAATTTAGATCACCTAAAAGTGTGGGGGTGCTTAGCAAAAGTCAAAATACCTGAGAATAAAAGAAAGAAGATTGGCCCTAAAACTGTAGATGGAATTTTTATTGGCTATGCTTCTGATAGTAATGCAAATAGATTTTTAATAATCAACTCTGACATTAATGAGATAGCCAACAACACCATAATTGAAGCTAGGGATGCACATTACTTTGAAAATATTTTTCCTTACAAGACCAGAATAAACAACACAGGCCCTAGCTCTAATAATTCAGATCCTAGTTCTAATCAAGGTGAAACTAGTTCTAAACAAATTAGACCACTAGAAAGTCCAGAGGAGCCTAGGAGAAGTAAAAGAACTAGAATAGAAAAGGTCCATGAAGATTTCTATGCATTACTTGTAGAAGATTCTCCAATTACATTTGAAGATGCAATGAAATCAGTAAATGCTCCATTTTGGAAGGAAGCTATAAATAATGAGATACAATCTATAGTTCAAAATCATACTTGGGAACTAACTGATCTTCCTTCAGGCTGTAAAACTATAGGATGTAAATGGGTATTTAAGAAGAAACTCAGACCAGATGGAACAATAGATAAATATAAGGCCAGATTAGTAGCTAAAGGATATACCCAAAAATCTGGTATTGATTATCTTAAGGATATACCCAAAAGTCTGGTATTGATTATTTTGATGTCTATTCTCCAGTAGCTAGGATTACTACCATTAGAGTCCTTATAGCTCTAGCATCTATTCACAAATTAATAATA